TTCAAACCGACCTTGAAGCCCAGTGCTTATCCTACAGCACCACACCAGGACCTGGCAGATACTAAAATTCCAGGCTGCCAAAAGGAAAGCAGATGTTCAGTATAAACCATATTATCTATACAAACAGCTGAGGCACAGTAAGCCACCCTTATCAATTAGGGAATGGTGGGAACACACTCAAAATTCAACTCCCCAGATGCCAGCCTAGAAAGCAGGTTCTTAGGATAACAGTCTCAGACCTGCTATGCTATTTCATTTCTGCACAGCTAGTATGTTGAAAATATTCTTTCGTTTTCACTGAAAAAAAAAATCTCACTTTCAGAATTTTAAATTTTTTTCAGTTTCTTTTTAGCAAATAGTATAAAATAGAGCAAAGTTAAAAACTAGAAACAATCTAAGTGTTCAAAATTAGTGAAATGGCTCAGTAAACAGAAATGCAGTAGTGTGAAGAAATATTAAAAAGTTTTAAAAATTACAATTTTGAAGATTTTTAAAGACGAAAAGGGCTATGCTGAGAGAAAAATCAGGACACAAAATTATATATACAGTACTATATATGGGGAAAATATTCTAGAAGGAAATTTACAAAAAAATGTATCCATTATTCATTTCAGGGGAATAGTTACGCAAAAACTAATCTTCAGTTTCTACGTGACCTTTTCCTGTGTTTTAAATTTTTGTTTAAAGAGCATGCATTTATATTTCTAATCAGAAAACACATAATAAAAAAAAAGATAGTTATGTAAAAAGGCATTTTATATAAAGGACTATGGATTCAAAGCAAAGTTTGTTAAAATGTAAAATATTTACTGAATCTAATGAGTAATAAAGGAGCTCTGGTAGCGTAGTGGTTAAGAGCCAGGTTGCTAACTTAACAGTCAGCAGTTGGAAACTACCAGCTGTTCCGTGGGAGAGAGATGAGGCTGTCTGCCCCCATAAAGGTTTATAGCCTCGGAAAGCCTAGGCAGGGTTGTTGTGAGTTAGAACCAACTCCACAGCATACTACCACCACCACTGAGTAAGAGGAGTACAATGTATAAAGTAAATGTTGTTGTTGTTAAGTACTGTGGAGTCGTTCTAACTGGGACATTCAAAATAGCCAACAATTATTTAAAAATATAAATTTTCTATTTAATATGCTTGTTTTTTCAATTGTTGTTGGTGTTACGTGCTGTCAAGTTGGTTCTGACCCATAGCGACCCTGTATAGGGTTTTCAAGGAGCAGCTGGTGAGCCTGAACCACCAACCTTGCAGTTAAAACTGACTTTGCAGTCCAGCACATTAACCAACAGTTCCACACTAGGACCCCTGGCTAATATAAAATAACATGTAAAGAGGAATTCTTTGATAAACAGTAAAGGAAGTACACCACCAATTTTTATTGAAACAAAAAAATGGTTCACAAAGTAGCAGAGGCAAAGATAAAAATCATATTTTTAAATGGATACCACAAAGGGTGAGTTTCCTAAATTTCTTTGCTGTGTACATGAAATTACACTGTTTAGTGTTACTAACATAAATCAAATATACTTGTTTACATAGTTTCTTCACAAGGAAAACAAGGTAGTTACTAGGTAGTTGGAGGTGATTTCTGATGTTTCCAAAGTCAGTTCACCTCTATTTGTTCTAATGTATCGATCCTAGACAAAGAGCTGCTACTGTACAGAAAGCTATTTTGTACTACCTAGACTTTCCTTTGCTGCATTAAGTTGCCATATAGAAAACAGAAGGCTATTGTATCCTCTTATCCCTAGAGATGAAATCGTTTGCAGCTTATTTTAAATCACAAAGCAATTCTTTTGTGAACAGAATTGGCCCAAGGCAACGGAGGTTGTGCAACAAAGATCCATGGAGTCGCCTCGCTGCCCACATGACATCCACTTGTGGTTGCTTCCCGGTAATGCCAGAACATGAAAATCTTGATGGCACTCCGATGTGGGGGCAGTGCTCTCTGTTTCTGAAGTGTTCCCAGATTCCAAAAGGCCTTTGCCATGGCAAGCACACACAGGAAAAAAAGCCAGACTTTTTCTGGTTAGGAAGGGAAATGTGGTTAACCTAAATTGGTTCTGGGGCGCAAAGGAGTATCAAGAAGTACTCCCTCTGCTGCAGGTCAACTATGAATTTTTTGTTTCCTTTCAGAAAAGACTTTTTACAAGGCTTGGCTATATTCAGAAATTTAACTGCTTAAAAAGACACTCAAGTTCTTAAAAAGATTGTGTTTGAGGAGGAGGTGTGGAAAGAGAGTTGTAGAATAAAGTATTGCTGCAGATTCTTTTTAGTAAAATGTATAGCTAATTAAAATCAGCAGTCAGTGCTTGCTAAGTGGTAGTTCATGTATGATCAATAGTCCTTCAATGACTTTGTTGTTTCTACTTTTCTCTTTCCCAGGAAGAAATAGAGCATATTATAAAAAACAAAACAAATCAGAGGGGGACTCATAGTCAAAATACTGGGGGGTTCGGATGATAACACTGTCAAACATGCATTAACAAGCAATTTTTAGCACTATGCTTTTCAGCCATCTGTTACTACCAATTTCAGTCTATTCCCCTATAAAATGGGATAACTAACAAATGTCACCCTTTCATAGGTTATTATGTACAAAGAAAATAGAGAACCAAACTGTAAAGTGCTACCTATGCATTTTATTGTTGCTACTAGGTCTGGTGGTGGTGGTTGTATGCTGCGGAGTTGGTTCTAACTTTTGTGACGCTATAGACGGTTTCTGAGGCTGTAAATCTTTATGGGCGCAGAAAGATGAATCTTTCTGCCTCAGAGCGACTGGTAGATTTGAACTACTGAGCTTGTAGCTAGCAGCCCAGCTCGTAGCCCACTATGTACCAGGGTTGCTCCTTGCCTGACATATAGAGAGTGCTTAACAAATGTTTAAGAAATTCTTAATGAACTGCACTAATTATAGTAGAAAAATAATTTTGTTGTTGTTAAGTCGTTGTCTGAATAGCGACCCTGTATAGGGTTTCCGAGGAGTGGCTGGTGAGTCTAAACTTTGTGACTCAAACCCATCTTATGGTCCGGTGCTTATCCTACCAGTGCCACACCAGGAGTCTGGACAAATAGTAAGAGTATGTAAATAAAAAACTTTAAAACTATAAAATAATAACACTTACATTTAAAAATTAAGATTTTACATGGAACTAAACCTTATATTCAAGTAAGTTGAATGTGTCAACTGCCAGAACAGGTCATTATAATGACCCTTGCCGGTGGGGATCTCAAGTGCAGCAAATAGATGCTACCACATCAGCTTTTATTCAGGTATGGAGGCCATGTACCAAAGAAGTAGAATGAGAAGGCTAAGAGCTTGAGTTCAAATTCTAGCTAGCAAGTTGTGTAATTTATTTAATTCTTCCTAAATCTCAGCTTTTACATCTACAAAATGCAGATAGTAGTAGTACCACTTCTCAGGGTTTCTGTGAAGATTAAATGAAGAAATACAGGCAAGTCATTTAACACAGAGAAATTTACTTCATTTTCAGCATGATCATTAGCATAATTAGAATACAGAGTGACGTTGTATGAATGAAACTAGACCAGAAGTGATCCATTTCACAATCCAGTATTAATCCTCAGCCATGGTAGTGAACCATGCTTTTGCCTTTAAAAAACCTGGCAAAGAGGGTTGGTTCATTATGATCCTTCAGATACCCTATCAAGTCCCCACCTACCATGATGCTGTTAGGTGAGATTAGATGTGCCTATGGGGAACTGGTAGCGTAGTGGGCTGCTAACCTCAAGGTCGGCAGTTAGAAACTACCAGCTGTTCCGCGGGAGAAAGATGAGGCTTTCTGCTCCCGTAAAGATTTGCAGCCTCGGAAACCCTGTGCAGGGTCACTATGAGTCAGAACGGGCTCCACAGTAGTCAACAACGAAAACAACATGGGGAACTGTGAGTCCTGGTGTGACGCTGTGGGTTAATGTGCCAGATTGCAAAGCCCTTTGAACCATAAGGTTGGAGGTTCAAGCTCACCAGCTGCTCCTTGGAAACCCTATATAGGGCTGCTATGAGTCGGAACCAACTCGTCGGCACTTAACAACAACATGGGGAACTGTGGTTCCCTAAACCCAATGTTAGCAGATGTCCAAAGTGCAGTTCTTCATATTTCCTTAACCTCTGGACCATTCAGAGTTCCAAGATTACCTTTAAAATTTGAATTTCTTATCCAACTTTCTAATGCTGTATGTTTCACTCCCAGCAAAATCTGTCTTTCTTTCTTCAAATGGAAATGTCAAAAGCTTAAGATGTGCATACTTTTTTCTAATTTGCAGTGAATGAGTTTTTGCTAATACAGAAGCTACAGAAGTTAGAATAATGAAACACTAATATCAGGATCCCTTATAATAGAATATACCAAGGTAAATGGCAGTGGTAGTCAATGAAGCAATTGCTTTACATCCAATATCCTACTGAAATGGAATAAATGCATTTTAAGGAAATAAAATCTAACCCTTCTTGAGATGTCCTGCTAAATGAGTCAAAAAAAAAAAAAAAGCCTTAATTCTAAACCTTAAAAATTATTCAAAATAATTGAGTTGGGCAACCAACCTATTTCTTAGCATGGAAAATTTAATAATCAAATCAATTCTGGATCTTAGCTTTGTAAGACATCTCTCCCTGCAGACAGCTAACTTCTTGGGATCCTGGACCCTTCTTTTGGGACATGAACAGTCCTTTCCTATGGGAAAAGGCTGAGCACAGCCTGCCTGCCTGTCAGTGCTACCTGACAGTGGAAGGGTCCTGATGTCTATGGGGCTGCTGCAGATTGAACAGACTGCAAATCCAGCAAGAGGACAAAAGGTTGTTTTAATTGGCTAAATCCGTTACATACTAAGTGTCTGGCTACAAATCTGTAGCCCAAACAGTAATTTTAAAAAATGCCATGGACAATTTAAGCACAAAACAAGAGTGACATTTTCAACCATCAATTCTAGTTTTGCCACAGGGCCTTTAAAATACTTTTTAAAGACTGTGAAACCCTTACCTTTGCTGAAGTAGAATTTTCATGGTATACTCCTTGTACCAAGTCCATAAGAGCACTTGCTATAAGTTCCACAACCTAAAAAACAAGAAAAAAAAAAACCAAAAAGCTAAGAAACAATTTTTAAGATTCATCCCTATTTTTATCTCCAAATGTCTCAGAAGGCTTAGTAGCAAATGCAGGAATTTAGCTTGATAGAGAAAAAAAATGAGGTTATGTGCAAAGATCCTGGCAAATGGCATTGCCCACCTGGATACTAAAGCTGTGATCCATTTTTTTTTTTCAGTCATAATTCAGTAAAAAATAATCTTATATACACAGCATTTGACTGATATGTACAAAAATCCTGTAACAGCCATTTTGAACATAAGCTTAAATTTAAGATAGCTAATGAAATTTTAACACAATTTAAATTCTGCATGCTATTTCTGTCAGGTGGATACTTTTCCAATATCCTATTCTGGGAGCCATTACAATGCTAAATTTTATATTTAATACAGAAAGAGAAGCAAAATCAAAAGAATGGCTAACCTTTCAAATATGTTCATTCTGTTACACTTAAAATGTACTGTGGATACATTTGGTGCAGAGTTCCTGGGTCAAATATACCATAAACACTGAAAATTTTTACAGGAGCTGTAATTCTGAAATTGTATTAATCACACTTGTATCATCTTTAAAAGGTGCAGGCTACCTAAAAAACAACAACAAAAACAAAAACAAAAAAACAAGCAAAATCCAAAGCTTTGAACTTGTTCCAGAATGTAAAACAAACAGGAAAAAGAAAATGGTCTCTTTGGAACTACTGTACAATTTAGAACTGTTTGCATAAACCATCTTAATTCTAAAGGGAAAACTAGCACATTTATTATAATGTTTAATGCAGTCGTTTCAAACAGGAATTCCTTAAGGCAATGCCATTTGCCACTTACCAAGTCTTGATATCTTGTCTGTTTAACTTCTTAAATTATGCAATCCTATATCTGATTCCTACTCTTTGCTTCCTAAAATTATGCTTAGTTCTGATTGAATTAAAGGATTTTGTTTCAGCTTTTATCATTCTTATAATTAAAGACATTATTAAGTCAAAGGATACAGACACAAATGACAAAATACTTCAGTTTCATGTACACTGGATTTACTAAACCTTTTCTTAGAGAAAAAGAACACTAATTTATAGAAATAATATTTGAATACATGAACGTATCTCCAAATTTATACTTACATTCATATTGCACAACACATACAGGGCTGCTGATAAGGAAATTGTGCTAATTTAAAGGCATATTTTTTCTAGCTCTGCAGATGGGCTAATTTGTAAGACCTATACAAAGTCTTTTTTTAAATCGCATTGCCCTTTAGGTAACCAAATACTTAAGAAATATTGTAGCAATATGAGCTGCAGAGGAACTGGAAGGACAATGATCCTACAGTGTTACCAGATGTGTTGAGTTATTTAAGTGGGGAAGAGAAAAAAATGAATGGATTTTTTTCCCCCTGAAGGTATCAGATAAGCCCTATTCCAAAATCCAGGAGGATCGAGTATCGCCAATAGGTCTATGAAAGAATGTGACTAAATGCACAGCATCAGATTGGGTTACAGTTTATACAAGCAACATCCCAAGATCCCCCTGATGGCTGGACACATAATACAGATCAATCACTCACTTAGAAATGTTATGGTTTTCAAACAGTTTGAGCTCTGAGACCAGCACTAGTAATGTGAAGAGGGATTTACAAAGAGAAAGTCCAACTCTAAATGTCAAAACGATGGTATGAACCATTAACAATGGATCTGTCTGTGATAGCCACACAGTTTTCTTACTTTCCTGAAATTCCAGACCAGACAGAAGCAACAAAATCATTTTGTTTGGTGGTTCTTCTCTTAATTCAGCTAAGAGAGGCAGACCTGTACTTACAAATTCATAATTCATATGACCTGTACTTACAAATGAGTGTCTGCTTGAGTAGAATATGCCTTATGGTCAAAGACAACTATCAAGGAAAAACGTTAGGGCTTCTTTAGGTTATTAACAAGCAGATAAATGAAAGACAATAAAAAGCAGGAATAGCCTATGGGAGTTGAATGTTACTTACCCAGTGCACATATAAATCTTTTTCTATCATCTGTAATGTTTATGTTACTTTTTAAATTATGCCAAATAGAGATCTGTTTTTAGTATTAGCTACCTTTAAAATCACAAATAATACTAGAAGGACTACAGCCACTCTCACACTTCAGTAAGAATCCTTTAGTAAATTATGTAATGCTTTTCTTTTCTTTGTTTTTAAGTTGGCCTTTAACATGGGCATTCACCTGTTTAGATGTATGTTGAACTTAACTATAAGAAAGCACTTGCTTAATGACATCCTCCCACCTGCCCACCCAGCCTTTTGAAGAATGATTATCCAAAATGCTATAAGGACAATGGTAAGCAAGGGAGAGTCCAGAGGCCTAAGGGGAGGGTTCCTGTGGCTGAGTCCAAGCCCTAGATTCACTGGAGTTCTAAACAAGGGCAACAATGAAATCATTTCAAAGTCACTGTTTCTCAAGCCTAGGGTGGTAAGTACTTTCCATCACAAAAAGACATTGGCTAAAAGAGCCCCAATGCAGAACTGTAATTGAATAGAGAGAACATCCCAAGGAACCAGTTATTTAGAGTCTAGATTAAGGCTGACACTCATTTTGCTTCAGATTTTGAGCCAATCAATGAATTGATCTGAGCTTTGGTTCTGTGAAACTATACAATGAGGGGAAATTCAAAAGGTGATTCCTTAAGGTCATTCTCAGCTCTCTAAAATCCTGAACTTTACTATAAATGAATCTTCATATTTGACTTATAATTAAGCAAGTAAATTTGAAACCTGCTGTTGACAACTTGGATAGGATCTTTCCCTCAGTTTGAACTCTACAGATTATTTTCCTTGTGAAACTTTTTCTACCTAAATCCCCCTTGGTTATAATACAATTATAATAAAAAAACAATTTCCTTTTTAAAAACAACAACATTACAACCCACCCCACCAGTTGGAAAAGCAGTTCTAGTTAGGTCACTTAAAGGGCATACTACTGAGTTCTAGGTCTTAAAGTTCTATAACTGTTGTTGTTGTTGTTAAGTGTCGTTGAGTCAATTCTGATCCATAGCTACCCTGCATAGGGTTTCCAAGGAGCGGCTGCTGAGCTTGAATTGCCAACCGTGTGGTTCAAACCAACTTTACAGTCCAGCACATTAATCCACAGTGCCACACCAGGACTCCAAATGCTTGCTAATAATTCATACATATTGGATTCAGAATGGTATCAGTTCATTCTTCAAAGCCCCATCAAATAAATAATGACAATAGTTGTCCATTATCACTGTCTTCTCTAATGAGTAAATATGTAGAATACTTGGATGGCTACCTAGAAGAGTTCACTGCTACACTCTATACTTGTGTTAACATAAAAGTATGTTCTATATTCTCCATATATAATATGGTGGTGGTGTGCTGTGGAGTCCAGTCTGACTCACAGTGATCCTGTCTAGGGTTTCTTAGGCTGTAAATCTTTATGAGAGCAGAAAGTCTCATCTTTATCCCACAGAGCACCTGGTGGACTTCCGAATAATTGACCTTGCTTAGCAGCCCAGTGCTTAAGCCATTACACTACCAGGGCTCCTTGTATATAATATAGACATTCCAAACCCACTGCCATCAAGTTGATTCTAATTCATAGCAATTCAATAAGTAGAACTGCTTTGTAGGAGTTCTGAAACTATAAATCTTTACAGAAGCAGGCAGCCTCATCTTCTCAAGTGGCTGGTGGGTTTGAACTGTCAACCTCTGGTTAGAACCCACCATGCCATTGGTGCTCTTGTATAATATAGAAGTGTAATTTAAATTTCTGAGTGCTGGTGTGGTGCTGTAGGATAGGCACTGGATTGGTAAACACAAGGTCACCAGTTCAAACTTACCAGACACTCTTAGAAACCATATACAGGGTCCCTATGAGTCAGAAGTGACTGCATGGCACACAATAATGACAACAACAACATATTCCATAATCAGTATAAGTCTTGGATAGATATAACAGGGGAAACAAGAGTAGAGTACTTTTAAAATTGTGTGTACACAAATATTTTAGAAGCAAATATTTAGTTTGACAACAGAACATATTCAAAAACTACTTTAACACAAATCAGAGATCTTTATAACATTGATTTACTGTTGTTGTTAAGTGCCATTGAATCAGTTCCAACTTATAGCCACTCTGTTATTGGGTTTCTGAGGAGTGGCTAGTGGGTTTGAATTGCTGACCTTGTAGTGAGCAGTCCAGTGCTCATCCTACATCGCCACACCAGAACTCCTTGATTTATTGTATCCTAAAACACTGACAGTCACCATCAATGCTATAAAGTTTACTTTAACAGCATCATCAAATCAGTTCCAACTCAGAGCAACACTGTATAGGATTTCCGAGGAGTGACAGGTGGGTTTGAACTGCCAGTCTTGTGGTGAACAATCCAGTGCTTAACCTACAGTGCCACACCAGGATTCCACTTTAACAGTCTAGAGAAAACTAAACAAGGAATAGTTTCTGCATTTCTGAAAGTTGTGAGAATAAAAACACTGCTTCCCTATATACATGCAAAAGTAAAAGTGCTCTCTTCAATTTGTGTTAATGGGTTTAAATCTGACTCGACAGCAAAGTGCTACGCTGTCGCCCAGTCTTCTCAATGATGCCTTAGATTCCAGTGAACCTGAAGTGGCACCCATTTGCAAAGTCAGGATTACAAATTGATTTCTCCTATCACCTCCCTATTTTGCCTACCAATAAGAAAGCCCCAGCATAAGAAAGTATGTAGACAGTGCTTGCTGGTCTGAAGCATACCGTCAATCTCTTCCACTTCAACCACCACCCCCTTACCAAAGATAAGGAATGTCTCTGTCATCTGTAAAAACAATCCGTTAAAGGATAAGAGGGAGCATAAAGTGCTACTCACATAACATTTACACTGTATGAGGGGGCTTCAAAAAGTTCATGGAAAATTCCATATCTCTAACTTCAATTTTTCTATGAACTTTTTGAAGTCCTCATA